AATCAGCTGAAATCTCGCACAAAGCATTCCATTCATTATTGCTTCAGGTCTGTATTTGCTTTAGCTAGGAAATTGCTAGTTATATGAGAAGAATTATGAGTTCAAGAATTTCTTAGCATCAACCTATCGTTTCATCAATCAAATAAACCATTCATCTTCTCTTAAGTAAGCCTCTCTTAAGAAAACAACGATTTCCAAAAAATAAGATTTCATTCACTTGACCTGAAGATTATCAGACGTATCAGAGTAAAAGTGTACCCCAAAACACTTCTTATTCATTTCCTTTGACTATAAAGCTCTACTAGCATTCTCTGAACGATTCTACAACTATGATGATTTCAGAGCGTTTTTAGAGTTTCTCAATTTCTGACAGCTATTACAATTTTCTAGAGTGTGGGACTTCTTGAAAATATGTTTCGTTTGCTTGGATGGCTTCGTTCCTTCAATGAATTTTCAAGTCAAAGAAATTTCAGAAGAGTATAGTTCATGCAATTCAACTAGGTCTCGCCTATGACTTTCGATTCATTAGATTAATAACAAATAATACAAGGTCATTGATCATTTTTATTTTTTGAATTTATTTCAAAACATCTTGTGAATATTTTGGACTGATCTTCAGTCCACTGTCAACACAAATAATAAGTAAAAAATACAACATTTTTGATGTAGAACTATTCTTTTCGTTCTTTTTCTTTTCTTTAACATTGCAATGCAAGTGAGAGAAATGTTTGCGTGTGCATTGCAACGTTAAAGAAAAGAAATAGTTATACATAAAAAAATGTTGTGTTTTTTACTTGTTACTTGTATTGATGATGCGCTGAAAGTCAGTCTAAAATATTCACGAGGTTTTTTGAAATAAATTCAAGAATAAAAAGTAAAAATGATCAATGAAGTCGTATTATTTGTCACTAATATATTTAAATATATTTTAATTTAATTCATCTGAAGAAGTCCTTTCTATAACTGGTGAAGAGAAACAAAACTACAATGCAAAACCGTTCGATGCGTTTTAAAATTCTATTAAATTTATTTTCTGTCTGGTAAAACATTGCAGCAAAAAAAATTCAGAAACTCAATAAAATCCTTGTACTTGGTTTCAATAACGTAATAATTTTTGTCTTTTAGGCAATATTTATTAACGTCAAAATATTACTATCGAATTTTTACTGTTCTAAAATCAACAACTAAAATAGTTAACTTAAATAATCATTGATTAAACTGAGTGATATCTTGAGCACGATAAAAATCTGATTTGATGATAAAGATAAAATTTACCTGATATCGATGATAAGTAGCAATGATCATGTTCAGTCGTGTACACACATTATGAACTGAACATAACATTGTGAAGTCATCGAGTTTGTCCAAGATGCGATAGACAAGCTCAACAGGTAAACTCAGAAAAGGTGGTGGAACTTTGTTATCCATCAATGTTGCTTGTGTTCGAACGAAATGCGTCGTTAAAATGAATGGTTGTCGAGTTGTTTTCTTTATGTCGATTTGTTTACTGACAACGTCATACGAACTTTCATTATGGTTGTGCAATTTTTTATTTACACAGAGAACGAAAACAAGTATAGTACGACGAATTCAACGACCAATCAAATTCGTTAAAGTAGCTATGCACATACAATTTTTTTTTCGCTAACTTTTCATAGGAGTCTCTGGCGTATATTCCTCCTGAATTTATTCGAGACCTCTTTCTAGTTTTTCTTTGTTCGTTTCGTGGTGACTTTCAGTATAAAAGCGAAGAGAAAAAATATAAACACGCGTTTTAGAAGAGAAGAAAACAAATCGACGAAACAGAGGAGAAACACATTAGTAAAAATATCTGAACATATTGATTTTGTTATTCTTAAACAAGATAAATACAAAACAGGGAACACAGTGAGAGATTAAAAACTAGGTTGTCACAACTTGTCGCGGGACTCGGTGGGACAGGGATATTGGTATACGTGTAGTTTTGCTTCTCATTCTCATCAGAACACGAACAAGCACACTCATATCCACACTCCATACCCACACCCGCCGATCTCAACTCTCAACAACTACAACAATTGCATGAAGTTCTACTTGAAAAGCGACCGGACTTGATGAATCAGAAAGACGTCATTCTTCTTCATGAAAATGCTACACTTTATGTAGCAAAGTTAACTCAGCAAACAATCGAACAGTTCGGATGGGAAGTTCTTCCGCACCCACCGTGGTCACCAGACCTTGCGCCATCCGATTATCATCTGTTCCCCTCTCTTCAGAACGATCTTCGCAACTAGCTAGTTTCTATAAACGTGCAATTGAACTATTGTCGACTAGATGGATGAAAGTTGTCGAAAACAATGGCGATTATATTGTTGACTAATGCTTCATATCTTTGTTGAAAAGTAAATTTGTTGTTGAAAAAGAAAAACCATGCAGAACTTATGTAACAACAGGATACCTATCAGATCTGATCCCTTTTAGAATGGAATACAACGTCATCCGATACCGGATCCAATCGTTTTCGGTAGAATCAGCAGGCAGGATTGGTTATCCTGGGTACACTGGTGATAGAAATACCATGGTTAATTGTACTAGTCTTAAATTAAGATGTAGAATTTGTTTAGTTCCATCCAAATGATAATGAAAGTTTTGTATATACTTTTTTTTTATAAATAAAATTAATTTAGGTATTTGTGATGTGGATTGCCTTATGACAGAAGGTTCTTGTGATATATATGTTTTTTTTGTGAATAGTAACGATAAATGTGTTGTGGAATATTATGTATCACTTGTTGAAGATCTTGCATCACATGATGTTGTTTCATAGAGAATGTTAATTCAATTTTATTAAGGATGGTTTGTTACCTTTTCTACATCGCTTAATATATGTTTATATAGCCTTAGTTTCTATGTAATAGTGATATTGAGAAAGATAAAGATAATATTTTTCTTTAATTAACTTATTTAGATTCGAAATTATTGCATGAACGTTTATCACATATTAGTGGAACAGCAATAATATTTTCCAGTGTTCATGTGGGTGTGGGATGGGGGTGATGGTGTGTGTGTTGGTCTCTGCTTTAACCCGCGCCCACACCCACTCCTACCCTACACCTACACCCACTCCTACCCTACACCTACACCCGCTCCTACCCCATACCCATCCCACACCCACACACACTCCTACCCTACCCCACACCCACACCCAATTCTGAAAACTAGCAGGTCTGACCTTGGGATCTGTCCGGCCTTGAGTTGGTCCGATTTTTATCAGACCACTTGAGGGTAGCCCTCTATCGATCATCGATCGTGATTGGTATGTTCTCGACTAATAAATAATCGAGAAATAATGTAGAAAAAAATTAATATGAAAATATATAAGCTTCAAGTGTTCAATCGAGTTGTCTATATCTGGCTGAGCGTGCAAAACAAAATGGTGAATGAATAGTCAGAAGACAAAACGCAAGAAATTCATGTACGAGACATTCTAAATTGAGACACCTTTTCGCGATTGAACCTGCGACACTATAACTTGCGATGCATAAGTGCGGCACATTTTATTTCAGTGTGTTGTTTTGTTATTTTATGAAATTAAAAGCATCTAAATCAACTGATCTGCAAAAGCCTTGGCACATGTGCTATGCACGAATGAAGATTAAAATTATACACTAAACAAATGTGATGTATGTTTTATTGCTCGTTAGTGTTGGATATTTTTAATGAAAAATAATTCTTGATTTTATGCATTTTATATTGAATGTAAGAACAACAAGAAAAATTCCCAAAGTTCTTTTGCAGTAAAACATAAATATAGTTCATAGATGAATCAATTTAATTGCATTCAGCTAATTTTTTTGCACTTGATTCATGAAAGCTTGATCAGAAAATTTAACATGTTTAGTTAAATTGTCCAATGCTTTTTGGAATTTCGTTTTAGCTTCATCACGTTTACCTGCATTGAGAAGTGCATTTCCCCAATCAATATTGGCTTGTGCCACATCAACAGCAAGTTGAGGATGTAACACTCTATCAACATTACAAATAATACGTACTTTTGAAAATTTAGATACCCATTTTTGATGGCCTTCAACATCTTGACAATAAACATAAATTGCATAAAGTTGTGGTAAATCATGAATCTGAGGTACAACATTTTTTCCGCGTCCACCAGAGGTAATTAAGAATGTTCGTTTATTAACACATTTCTCGCGAATAAATTTCATACATCGATCTTCATCAGCTGCACACAGGGATGTGGGTGTGGGTGTGGGTGTGGGTGTGGGTGTGTGGGTGTGGGTGGGTGTGGGTGTGCGTGTGGGTGTGGGTGTGGGTGGGTGTG